TCAGTGTGTTCCTTAGTTCTTCCTGTGCGTGACGAAATCTTGTTGCAGATGTTGATTCAGAATTTTTTAATAAACTTGAGGTTTAAAGAATTTGTTCAAGAAATCAAGCAATCTTTCTTTAAATTCCTGTTTCGAATTTCCTCTTAATACTCTAAAATAACTTGAAGACAAATAAACAATTTCTGATTTTTGGGTTATTGGACCGTCGTCTATAGGAATTTGTCCTGACGTTTCTCTGGCGCACAATGCGAGCATCTTCAGAGTCTTGTTCGCTCGAACCACTGCCTAATACCTGAACACACTGAACAACTCTGAAGGCGCTCGCCACACATGCGAGCGAAACGTCCGGCCCAAAATCCTATCGATGACGGCCTAATAATCCAAAAAAAGCAAATTTTCGTCCTTTTTGATCGTTAACATTGATTAAAGATGTTGCATGTTTCCGTTTCCAATTAGTTCTTTGCATGATTTTTCATTATCTTCATCGATTTTTCCGTCCCATTCGCCAGCTTCGTCACTCTTTGGGCGACTTTTAGCCTCTCCTTGATGTTGATCGCTCGAAGTTCCCTTGAACTTCAGGTTTAATGAATTTCTGCAAGAAATTAGACTTATTGTCTTCATTATCTCGTATCGAATTTTCTCTTCAGGCTCTAATAAGAGTTAAAGAAAGTTGAGCAATAGATGATTTTTGGATCATTGCTTAGCCGTCGATAAAAATTTTGTTCGAAAGTTTCGCTAACAAGCGTGCCTAGTATCTTCAGGGTTGAGTCTTTTGCGATAAAATATCAGTGTTTTCCTTAGTTCTTCCTATGCGTGACGAAATCTTGTTGATGTTGATTCAGAATTTTTCAATCAACTTGAAGTTTCAAGAATTTGCTCAAGAAATCAAACAATTTTTCTTTAAATTCCTGTTTCTAATTTCCTCCTACTACTCTAAAATAACTTGAAGACAAATAAACAATTTATGATTTTTGGTTTATTAGACCGTAGTCTATAGGAATTTGCTCCTGACGTTTCGCTGGCGCACAATCCCAGCATCTTCAGAGTCTTGTTCGCTCGGACCACTGCCTAATGACCCAAAAAACATAAATTTTTGTCTTTCTTCGAATCTTAACGTTAATGAAGATGTTGCAGGTTTTGTTCTATTTATTCAGCCGAACTCTTTTAGATCTGTTCTTCACCCGTAAAACATCAGCATCTTCAATGATTTTTCAATCACGGTCTTCGGCTTCGTCACATTTGAACTCTTGAATTGGCTCTTCTTGATGTTTTTCCTTGGAGTCTTGCTCCAACCGTGTTTTTGAATGTTTACAGAAGAAATACACTTTTCCATCCATGTGCATTTTGCCAGATTTTAAGTATCTTCCATTCATTTCATGAAAGTAACCAATCTTCCACCTTCAAAGGGTCTTAAACAGTCGCAAAATGAAGTCTTTAAGTAAACGTGCCTTTGAAGATGAAGATGCCAGCCATGCGTACTAGCGAAACGTCAGGGTCAAATTATTATTGACGACGGCCGAATGGTCTAATATTTTTGCATTTTTTTTTTTCAAGTGCACTCTTTCTTATCAGTTCCCAGTCTTTCGTCACATTCTTCAGCTTCGCCACTTTTATACTTTCTTGTGTCTCGTTGTCATTTCAACGTCTTTCGTTGTTTTTATTTGCTTCTTTATTACTTCCGTTCGTATTCCTCATAAACGCAAATGATTGTCTTCAAATCGAGCCTGATGTTTTTCCGTTTCCTCAAAGACGAGATACAATTTTTCGCCCCAGGAGTTTCTGCCAGATTTTAAGTACCTTCTATTCCTTCAGCAGCTTAGCTTTCAACTGTTGTGAGTTTTCCTTCTGGAAATTGAAGTCTTAAAGTGAACACAGCTCTGAAGATGCCCGCTGTGCGTGCTAGCCAAACGTCTCGACCAAAAATCGCCAATTTTTCAAACGATGGCAGCCAAGTTTGTTCACTATTGAAGATGTAGCAGAAGTTTTCATTCACCTTAACTAGCTTGTAGCTCAGTTATTTCCCCTTTGCCTGCCGTTTTTTAGTCAAATTCATTCTTTCAATTCAGTTCTCCCTTTGATTCTTCATTATCTTTAATGATTTTTTCACATTCGGACTTTGAAGATTTTTTGTGCTTGCGTTGCTTTTAAAGCATTTCGTGCCCTCTTTGGGACTGCAGTAATTCCATCAGGCCTCTTCCGCTCTAGATTTTAAAAATCTGCATTTTCAAGGATGCGATTCAAATATTTGCCAGAATTTAAAAACCTGGTTGAATCTTCCACGCTTCAGCTGATTTAACGATTTTTTCTTCAACCGCTGCAAATAGAAGATTTGCTCGATTTCCACTAATCAACCAGTAAACCATTCGCCATCCAACGTCCAATGCATTGTTTCTCTAATCAAAAACCCCTGGAAACCGCGAAAACCCCCCAAAAGCTTCAAGCGCTTTAATGCTAATTGATTTTTCCAATTTTAGAGCCTAGGAAGATTATGCCGATCTTCAAAACAGACGAACCAGTCTGTCCCGAAGGAAAACTCTCATGCGGTAATGGTGAGTGCGTGGAAAAGGAACTTTTCTGCAATGGAAAACCCGACTGTAAAGATGAATCTGACGAAAATGCTTGCTGTAAGTATAAATAAATCTCCAGATATACCGGGTGTTTCAATAAGAGTGCAGTCGGTATTTAAATTGTCTTAAGCAGAACTATTAAATGGGAAAAAGTCTACTAAATTCATTGAGGAAGTTGGCGGTGTTTAAATAATGCTCTTGCCATGACGAAACGTATTCTCTTTCTGCACGTTCTGAAAAGTGAAAATCGGTAAAGTTTTGTAAAAGTCTGGTTCAGACTCAACAATAAGGAAAACATTTTTCTTTATTTCTAATTTTCTCAATTTTATCTGATAATTGTTGTTTTAAATGGGTTTTTCTGATTCGTAACTACAAATCCTCAAACGTTCTTATGCACATATTTTACTTCGTTTGGGAGAATTCAAAGACACATTTTGGCTGATTTACATGATAAAATGCAGAACTAATTGGTGGTTTGCATGATGAACTGGCGCTTATCGGGGAATATTAAACTGTCAGTTAAAAACAGCAATAAAATCGAAAAAAAATATTTTTTTTTATTAAAAAGGCTTGATGCCCAAAAAATGCCAAATAGGATCGAGGAACAATCGCGTGTAATTTCCCGGACTTATATCGAAAAGTTTCCTCTATTAACCATTGATTCTACTTGAAAAATTGTAAAAAATCGATTAAATCATGAAGGAAATCGACAGTTTCCGATGAAATAGAGCGAAGATTTCTTTATCGAATGGTCTATAAAACAGCCGTTTATCTGGTCCTTATTTCAACTCGGAGTTTTTTTTGGAAAAACTCTAACGAACTGCACTGGCGAATTTCACATTTAAAATTCAAGCTATTGTCAAAAACCGCCGAAATTTTCGAGAAAATTAAAACTGGTAGAGCTAATAGAGCGTAGCTTTCTGCGCAAAAGAGTATAGAATAAAGTGTCTTATCTGGTCCTCATTTTGAGTGTCTAATTTTTGAAGAAAACTTAAATTGCCGGTGCTGATAGAAAATAACCCGCAGCGGAAATTTAAACATTTGCCAAAAATCGACGAATTTATCTTAAGAAGCAGCACCTGCACAACTAATAGAGCGAATATTTCTCTAACAAAATCTATAAAGCATTCCTCTAGGCAATTTTTTAATCAAAATCTAAACTCCTGAAAATGCTAGGAAATAAATGTGTCATTCACGATTAAAAAGCGCAAAAAATGTATTTAAAATACGAGGAAGTTCAAATTTTCACAACTGATCGAGTGACGCTTTCTTGATCAAACAGTTAAGAATTTAATGATCAACTCGATCCAGATTTTGACTAGTAATTTTTTGAAAAACTCCTAACCTGTCGATTGACATCGAAAGGAAATTGCGCCATCCCAACTTAATCAATTGGTACAAATCGCCTAAATTCTCGAGAA